TTAGGTTTGGTATGCAGGGATGTTGCTATCCAAAAATGGAAAATTCACAACAGGGAAATTGAATTCATTACAATATTACAGAGATGTATTATTCACAAAAAAGACTGGGAATGTCCATACAACAATATTATTTCTGTGAGAAACATTTGATATCTGAAAAACAATCAGGCCTAAACAATTGAAGATAAGAGTATTTCCATCCTTGTCATTATCAGGTTGCATGTATGTACTACTATCTTTGTAAAAATTCAGTTGGTAAATTTAGTGGTAATGATAAATACAATAGATAAAAGATAACTAAAAATTGGATCTATGTTTGGTAACTTTGTCATATATAGCTGATTAAGTGTTGTGAAGTGATAACTGTACATTAATTATCAGAAAAGAGAAGGAAGTGATCATTTTATTGACAATCTGGCACACATAATTACCTACAATCACAACAATACATATGTAATTATTTAGTGGTATAATTTACAGAGAATTATTCCTTGGCATATAATCTTGTTCTGTGTCTTATCTTGTAATTCATGATTTTATATAAGTGTATTTTAGTTTCTACATAAGTTGGATTCATTGAGACTACCAAATTTAGCCTGTCCCATTTGTCCATGAATTTTAACAACTGGTCACTAAAGTCAGACTGAATATGTCCTTCCTGCCTCTAGCTCCACAACATATATACATACACAATGAACAAACCCTTAGGCACCATATGTACACATGGTATTGTTAAGAATTCATTTATACATGTTTATAGTACAACTATAGACTGGGTGTTACATCGGCCCTTTTTATACTACATATTTATTACTATATACATAATCAGGTAATCCAGTCAGTTTTACTGTGTATCTATCACTTCTGCAATCTTGTACACCTATTTATTTCATTTAATCAGTCTTATGTCCATTATTACCACCTTTCCACACTTTTGTACATGAGAAAGGACAGGAAAATGAGTTGGGAGCCAATAGTATGATGTGATGGGAGAGAGTGGAATGCAGAGATGAGGAAGAGAGAGGTCTTCTATACTATCAGACCTGTTATCAAACTATAATTTTGAAGATGACTCCTACGGCCTAAATAACTTATTTAACTCTGACGAGGCACATTGCAGCAAAAGAACCAGTTGTGAACAAAGTGGAAGAGGATGGGAATACAGTTCTATTTGAATTTCTATATGTTTATAATAATTTTGGAAAGCTGCCAAAATTTCTTAACAACTACTGTAGTCCCTAATGCTAACCTAACCCTAATGTCTGGGCCTCCTGCTCTTATTTGACATTCCCACACAGGCCACCATTTTAAGTCCCATCTGACGGACTATGTGTTGGTGTTTAATTGTGAGCAAGGTACTAGTGCTAATGTATTTTTGGTGTCAATATGTTAGTCTTTTCTCATATCTGTCAGCCACTTTGTCTAATTGTTTGCTTCAACAATGTTCCTACTTTCTGTAAATCTACACTGTTTCTTGCATCATGTAACAATGTCCTCATGGTTTGTAATTTTGATATTAGTATAGGGAGGGTTAAAAAGTTAACAGGGGTTACTAAGTGGTTCATGATCTAGTCTTGTTGGGTGCTACCATGTTAAACGTTAGGTGGACAGGGTGACAGTAAAGTAATACTATTGAGAGGTATAAGAAAGATGGGCCCGTAGGTATCAGACGAGGGATAAAGTGATAGTGTGTGTTAGTTACTGCATGTGTGTTTATGTAACAATACAGTTCATCACTTAAGATGGTAAATAGGTGCACCTAAAGAGGTAACATGCCTGTAAAATACACATAAAAATACTTACTTTTATTGAACTAATCATTTCAAGTACGCAATATGTGTCTTTTATGTGATGATACAGTTCTTCACTGGTAAACAAGTGCACCTGATGAGGTGACAAGCCTGTAAAATACCTCATATAACAAAGCTAGGACCTACTGCACATGGGTGTATTGGTTTCGTGGTTCCTGGCAGAAGGACCCTGCTTTATCTTTACAATAACCCATTTTAAAGGCATATGGTCCCCAGTCTGAAGACCTATTAGTATGAAGATGTGGTGGTGTTGTACAAGTTGTGCAAGTAATACTATGTTTTTATATGATCTGAACTAATATATATGTACAGTTTGACAGTGCCAATTACCTGTGCGGACACAACCACCTCCTCTGCATGTGCAAAAATTATGTTAATGAATTCAAATGTAGGGGTGGGGCACAGAGGAGGACACCACAGATCTCCTGAGGTGTCAATATGCACCAATTAATGGGAGGATCAGAAGTAATCCTCTGTAGTAGTTTCCCAGGGTATCCTGAGGACCTATCTATTTGAAGAATATTGAGCGGGAGTTTGATTGTAAGAAGAAGAGCTCTTCTGCTTCCCTTACGTCTAAGTATGGGTCCCAAGTCATACAATCACCTAAGTATGGGTACCAAGTCATACAATCACCTGTGCAATATAGTATTTGTGTGTGATGTTGAATTTTGTTGTAGAAATTTATTTTTAAATATTTAAGTATTATGCTTTTTTGCATTATTAAGACATTGCCCTGCCTATCCAGTGAAGATAAAATATGATTGGTGGAAATAATAGGGATTTTATTATAATTTACTTACTTATACAGTAGCTGTCCTAGCTGTTCAATGTTTGAGTCAGAGGGAGAAAACAAGATTGTTTCCACATCATTTCAGAACTCACAGTTAGTCAATAAATGTTTCAACATAATAATGAAGTTTGATTTAATTTTGCTTTGCTAGAATCTTAATCTTGTGATAACTTTCTAATTGGATTTATTGGGAATATATAATTTTGTCTCTCACCTTGTTTTTTCTATAATAAGAATTACTCTGGTTTTTCCAAATTCTATCCTAATTTTTGTTCATACCGCTTTACTGGTGCCATCTTTTACTATACCATTCTAAGAATACAACCACCAGAGGCAATACTTAATAAATGTTATACCTTTGCTGTGTGTGAAAATTTTACAAAATCAGAAGTATTCAAAGAAAACTTAGTTATTACATAAATGAACATTCAGAAGTAAAATGGAACAGAATACAAAAGTATTCAGTAAACTTCTATGTAAACACCCTGTGTTAAACGTGAGGTGATAAACAAATGGATTCTGATACACATTGTCATGCACATTAAAGGTGATTCTCAATTTTGTTTTACCTTTCAAATAATCTCTATTTCTCATGAAATATGTCAGGAAGGATATTTAACACTACATTTTAATAAAACTGCCGTGCAATATATAAGCATTGTTGAACATTTCAGGAAATAGGTTATCAGCGAATGATACATGGACATTTTACATCGATAAAAATCTTTTCATTTTGGAGACATTTCCTTATCCTAATTTCCTAGTTACCACTTTTTCATCATTTTGTTTGCTTTCTAGACCACTATGTAAATTGTTAAAAGCATTGTATTTAATCCTTCCTGCATGTGTTGTACCATAATATATATATATATATTTGTATCAGTGAAGTAGGTATACAGTTTCAGCCCTATTGGTACCACTAGACTAAAATGTTATCTTACTCCTCCAAAGCTTTCTAGTGGTGTATAAACCCAAACCTAAATTTAAACCAATTGGGACATATGGCCAACACTACAAGTATTAAGATATGGGATATCATATTTACAAAGTTCACTGCACACAAGTTATGTGACAAAATAATGAGTGTAAAGATTGCCCATCTGTTATCACATTATATGTACCTAAGATGATATATTTGCCCAAATACTTTCACCTGTGACCAGCTACATCAGGTACAATATATGTATTTACACCAAGAATACATTTGTAGTACACTGGACCTACAGAGTCCTGTTAAGATTAATTACAACCTACAGTTAACCCAAAGAAATAACAGAATTAAAGATGTACAATAAAAATTTTAATGTATATATAGTAAAAATGACAATAAGGTCCAATATTTGTACTGGCTCTTGACAAACAAATGTTCATTGGATGTGTATTGCTGGTATAGATGTTTAATCAATGAAGTAATAACGTCAATACCAACAAGTAGATTGTCAAAATTTTGAGGCAACCTGCCCCTCCCATTTATCAAGAAACAAAATATTACAGAAGTTACAATAGACGATGAAGACCCTTATTGACCTTAATTTACTTGTCTGTACTGCCATTAATTCATGGAACATATATATACATGTATACACCTAACTGACATATATAAACTAAACACTTGATATCTGATTTATCATAACTATTTATTAATTCACAAAGAAATCTGATATTATATTGTAGCCGTCTGGATTAGGAATTTGTCAGTAATTCTTCTCAGAATACAAATACTTTTTGTTAGAATGTAGGTTTTCTCATAAGAAGACACTACAATGTACTTCAAAACTTTGTTTATGCAGAACAAAATAAAATCAACTGAAGTAGGTATTACTATCCACTGAAACCAATAATACTTTCTAGAAAGGAAACTAGGAGTTCAAGGATTTTTCCCCAATAAATGAAATTAAGAAGGACCTTGACGTCAAACATAGGGAGTGAGAAGAAAAACAGCTGAGAACTGTATCAAGTGTTCATTTCCTGAGCTCCACACACCCTTAGCTGTGTTTCAGGTAAATGTAGCAAATGTTTTAACTTCCATGTCCAAACGTTGTAAATCCTTAACATATACTAACTGAATCAATATTACAAGTTGGGCAAATATTTAATCACTATACATAAACTAAATCAAAATCAAGGACACATTTCCTTTTCCTAGTATCACGGTTTATAATTGCATCAACAAATTAGGTATTAGCACCGATATCATTTTCTTTTTTAAATTTTATTCTGCATTTCCTCTCCATATAACCAAAGCAGCCTCTACCTCATTTCATTGACTGCATTTTGAGGCGGAAATTACTGACCATCTACATTGCTTAAGAGATCAATGATGGCACATATTTTCCACCAAAGATATATAAATATATGGGGTAATGTTAAATCTAGTGCTTGGAAGATTATGTAATTACCTGTGCAATAATTGCCAGAACATCACCTCCTCTGAAACTCAGCTCTCCATTATCTGGGTCTCCATCAAAGTCATACAATGCACGGGCCTGAAACACATCCAAAATTCTACGATTACAATGTGCCATGTTTTGTCTAAGAGAAATATGAACATAAGCATATTTAACACCTTATGGGAGAAGTAGGTTTAGGGTAGGATATTAATCAGCTTGTGTTGAGCATAACTAGTTGTGTATGTACAGTAGGATACAAAACTTATCACAAGATGACTGATGCTGTATTATATGAACAACAATGTCTGTATACATGTAACTACAATGTACAAGTAACAACATGTACATTAGCATTCACTCTAATGCCAAACCACATCTAGTGACTCAAAAATGCATAATGATAAAACCAAATACTTTTCATATATCATCTTTTTTTCAATTTTAGTGTCTAATATCTAAATCTCCAGGTTAAACAATTTTCAGCTGACCTGCCTTGATATCTGCAAGTTCACACTGAATGCACAAAAGAATTGAAAGTTGGGATATATCAGGACTTTTTATAGACCCATGTTGAACATAAAACACTATGAACAAATCCAAGATCCTTTTGGTGGTGGGGATCAGGCAGGAAGTGGCGAACATGTTGAAAAGAGGTAGGATCATCTCCATGTCAGGTGTAATCGTGATCATTCCTGACAGAAGATACCTTTATCAGCTGCATTTCAGTAAAATATACAAGGAGGTGGAGACTGAAGACCACCTACAGGATTAGAAATGTAAGTCTTTCTATAATAATTACTAGTATTTTATTACATTGTACCATCCTAATGAACCATTCCTCTAGCAAATTCAGGCAAAATCTTGATCCAATTTAATGTACCATTTCTTTATGTTCCATGCATTAGACTCAGTTGAATTCCCTGAAATTCCAAATCTATCCTTGGCTTTAGACTCCCTATATAAGAATGGAGGCTCATTTGTAAATTATACTCTTAATGATCCTGACCTTTCCAATCTAATTGGGCCAGTTCAAATTTTCTCCACCATGTTCTTACATATGTATCACATGAACATTCTGAATGTTGTGATACGTTTTATTAGTTCCATTTACCTACCATCTGTCAACATTCCCAATTTTTAGACTGTTTTTTTTTTAATTCACTTACAACACAATGACCGGATTTTATTGCATAACATATATTACATTGGGCAAATTGATGTCATCCAACAATTTTTTGGAATATTTGAGTCTTGGACTCATACTTTTCCCTGTGGGAATCACTCAAATTTTGAAAAGCCACTATGCATCTTTGTGAGTGGACTGGACTCAACAGAAAAAAATCCTTCCAGTATTACTGTGATATCTCAAAACACAGATCTAAAACTAGACTAAGTTTTTCATCATTCATCACAAAGACACTTTTCTAAAATATCTACATCACTATGATATGCACCAAGAAAAAAATTTGACTAATTTGACGAGAGCTATATATGCTGTTCTTCTGCATTCTTTAGGACAGTGCTGGAGATTTCTATGCAGGTATCCAAGTGTGGAGCCAGCTTTTATACAGGTGTTGTTAATGCACCCTTTCCATTTCAGATCTTCACTTTTGTTTCATATACGGAGGATGTAACTTTTCTTTGGTGTCGAACTGCATACCCAAGTTTCCTGCCCATGTTTCTAGATTCTTTTGATAAGTTAAAAGTGTGGTACAGTCTTAATTACTATTTATCTCCCTGTACAACAAGCAATCACACACAAAGAACAATACTGAGGACTTAACCACTTCTGACAGGACATTAACGTGGCATAGAAAGAGGATGGAGTTTAGAGCTGTTCCCTTTGGTACACCAAAGTTAACAGTGATTTCGGCAGAGTATTTCTATCTAGAACTAATTGTGATTACAAATTGTGTTTCACAAGAGTACCCTGATCTGAAACCATGGTTTTAATGTTGTCAAGATTTTATGTTTTTTCAAATTGTTACATTAGTAGACTGCAGCTGTGTTCCAGCAGCTTGCAAGGTACTGATGTCAGGGATACCAGTCAGTAGTTTTATGCTGCATGTTTGTCTCCTTTCTATATTAGGTATTTCCAGAAAGGCTTGCTGTTATTCTCCACGCCCAATAATATTGTCAAACTTATGGAATTCTGTTCTGTTTTTCTTATTCCCTTCTCATATTCTTTCTGATAGAGTTTGAAGTTGGATCATTTCTCTGTTCTTTTGGCTTGATTATACAGGTATTGTATTTTCTTCAACACAATCGTTAATCTTTGGTTGAACCATGGTAGTTTGTGGTTTGACTTGATGGGTTTTCTTGGGTATGTTCTTATCCAGGCTCCTAAGCAAGTGTTTTTTGAGGTCACTCAGATGTTGTTGATGTTGCATCCTTTAATGTTCCTGTCTTTTATTTTACGTAAAATGTTGTCTAGGTCATGGTACACTTGCTCCCATTTACTTTCTTCAAGATGCATAATTTCCCATGATTTGCTGGTAGTGTGGATTTGTATCCACATCTGTGATTAATATGGCATGGTATAAAACCTTTGGCATGATGGTCCAGCTATAGTGAGGTTGGTAATGAAGAAAAGGTTTAGCAGGTCATTATCTCTGGTTGTGTCCACATACAGTTGTATTAGGCCTATCTGTGATGTTATATCAATTTGTTTCCTTTCTACTTCTTTGTTTTTCTTGTTTCTTGTTTCAACTGTCTATGATTTCCTGTTTATGTTTGGGCAGTTGCAGTCAACGGCTGGTATAATGTTTCTGATGTTTTCTTCAGCTACAAGATTGAATTATTTTTCTAGTTCCTCTTTGTCCTTTGTATTTCTATGCAGCATGTAGACTGCACCAACCAATAGACTTTTGGCATTTTTTTATTTTATTTTCATCCATTTCATTTCACCTCTGGCTACATATTGCACTTATTCAGTTGCTATGGTATTATTTTTTACCAATAAAAACACACCTTCTCATGTTCAGTGTAATCATCCAGGAATACTTTATTTGTAAATATTGTATATCATCTTCTTGTAAAACAAGCATATTGCTCAATATATAAATAAAACCAATTACAATTAATATTATCATTATTACTTCTGACAACAGAGTTTTCCTTAATTTTGTTAGTAGTAGGCTGTGTAGTGAAAGTAGGAGGCTGGCCTGCCGTGTACGTGTAGTCGTGTATGGAACATTATTACGGAACTGGATTGGTGTAGGCGGCCAAATGATTGAAGTAGCTGGTCAAATTGGCCGGCGACCGGCTCTTATGGAAAACCCTGTGACAATCAGGTCACACTTGTAACTGAGATTTTTCCAGGTTTTATCCCTTTCAGCCATGATTTAGAACCTTTTTCTACATCAGGTTTAGTGTAGTTTAATATCATTTTACATTCTGATGTTTTGTCTCTTTATGCTTCAACAGTTGACAGTCATTATTCTTAAGTTTAAGTTTTGGTGGTGATGTTGAGAGCATAAAGTGTTGAAACCTACTTCTATTTGTTTTTTCCTTATCTTTTGTGTTTGTATTTTTTTTTTTATTGACTTTAGACTGCTTGTTCTCCATGGACGAAATTGAGATACAAGTCCAGAAAACTGTTTGGGGTTGTGAGTGGTTTATAATAGCTGGCATTGTCTAGCTGGTATGAGTGGAATGTGAATGAGGATACATTTAGGCTGTCACATTTCGACAAACATTGGACTGACAACCTTTGCAGGAGCTCATGATCAGCAATGCATAGTTTTTCACAGGATTTATGGTTCCGGGCATTGCAAGTCACAACATATCCCTATCTTTCAACCATGTCACAGAGATTTCACATGATCCACATAGGAAAATACTTTTTTGGTTGGCACCTGGGTTTAGTTCAATGTCTGTGAACAATATTATGAGGAGGACGGTACTATGTAGCACTTTGGATGTTGGTAAGCATAATGGTCTCCTTCCTGTTTGTGATATTATCGAGTCAAGTAGACTAAGAGTGACTTGCTGATGGATCCATGGTACATTGAATATAAGTACACATCAAACTGAAAGCATTTTTCATTAGTCAAAATTTTTTTAAATCAAATTCATTCAAAATGTCATGATAAATTCAATATTATTATATGAAAATAAATCATTTTGATGTTCTTGCACCATAATTGATACACAGGAATATATTTTGATAAAACAGCTCAGTAGATGAAGTATGAAAATGTTAAATATAGTTTGATAAATGTCATTCGGAGTACTGTCACAACTGCTTAAGCATCAAGGAAATCACGCTTTGTCAATCTAGCCTAAGTTCAAGTGGATATAAACACCAATAAATATGTTATTCATGACTCTGTACTGTGTCTCTTCCTATTTTATGTTTAATTACAGTTGAGTGGTCTTTGCTGCATTGATAATAATATATTTGTATATACTGATCGTCATCACAGGACAGTTAAACACAGCTTTCTTGTTCCGATCCATAATATATTGTTTGGTCCTAAAACAACAGACAGAGTTTTGATTCACCAAGTATATAACGCCTGACGTGCTATTACTTTAACCGAATGCTACTTGCAATAGCTGTAATGGGTCGTTTAATCTTGACAAATACTGTACCCTGTAAAATGCAGTAGCCTATTTAGATATACAACCCCAAAAAATGTTGCAGGGAAATTGACTACAATTTCTTTCCCAAACTATATCAATACGGCAACTCATAGTGTATCCATGATATCGGATATTTTTCTAGCATCATACCACTGGTGCTCACCCCACCGATTAACTGACTCAGATTCAACGAAATGACAGTCTGCCATTGGGGGGTGGGTCACGAAAGAAGCTTAATTTTTCTTCTAACATATTTTCAACTTATTTAAGTCTCTCAATAATTCATATATACATAATGATTAGTTTATGTAAATTTTACGCAAAAAGTCAAGCTAAAAACATAGTGGAAACAATGTAAACAGTCCTCAACAGGGTAAAGTTCAACTCACCGTGGTCTCCGCCATGACTCAACCTGACAAGAATTGCTGCGCCCTCTGTAAATACGCGCTAAGGGACATCACTCTACCAGTATAGTATTAGATCAAGATACAGGCCTATCTATCTATTACGTGTGTAGAGAGAGAGAGAGAGAGAGAGAGAGAGAGAGA